AGAGAGAATTTGTTAGGAGGAGGTATTTGACTTTTTTTATTTTTATTTTTATCTTTTTTTCTCTCCACAAGTAAGGGAAATGAAGGCTCCAATTATATCTGGAAAGATATAAGACATGCATAAGACATACAAGCAATTTTCCAGATTGATTTTGTGGCTCATGACGATATTCCATACACAACTGGCAGCGCCACCGATGTGTACGCACACATCAAAGAACGAGGCATGTTTGTCACAACGGAACGAACAGAAGGGGTTTCCACCAGTGACGTAGTGTCGAGGATTGTTAAGGATTATGACGTTTATGTCAGAAGAAATTTAGCTCGCGGATACAGTGCAAAGGATCTTAATGTATCTTATATTAATGTGAGTATGAGGGAATGAGAGTAGATAATCATCTATGAATTTTATAATTTTGTGTTCCTCTACTTAATTTTGCACAACTTGGCCCATTACACAAAGAAACATTATTCATGATTGTGTAAATACAACCTTGGAAATGGGTACATCTCTAACCCTTAACGACTCACAGGAGAAAAAGTACCGACTACAGAACAAGATTGACGACCTTAAGAAGAAGGGCAAGGAGATGTTTGAGGACATTGAGGGCAAGAAGACTGACCTTATCAGCAAGTGGGAGGAGAAGAGCAGAGAGTTTATTGACACCTTCCTCATGCTCTTTGGGCGAGATGGAAGGCTCACCCAGTACCTCACTGAGAAGAAGGACTCAGTCATGAGTGCCCTCTCCCCTCCCTCATCCCCCAAGGCTATCAGCCAATCCTCCGAAGATTGTAACAGGTGGGTGGTTCGTTCTGAGAAACAGGATTGAGGATTGGAATAGGTTATTAATTATGACTAAGGAGTAAGTTCAAAGTAGCAGCAGGTTGATGAACCAATTGAAAGGTTGGGTCATAGAGAAGGAAGTTGAACCGAGTGTCTCCGAGATTAAGTGTGTGTTGGTTTGGGTATGGAAAAAAGTGAGTGAGTGAGCAAGTGAAGGCATTAGTGTTAGCTTAGAATTCTATAGGTCATGTTTGATCTTCAAAGATTTAGTCTTATCTTTATGCACGTTCCATTTTCATTTTTTTCTTGATTTTTGGAAGGTTTACAATCACTCGTATGAGGATAGTTACACAAAGTGTGATTATCCCTTACAGCATTTTAGGAACATTTTTACAGGCTTTTTCTCAAATTGTCTTGTTACATTTCATTAAGCTCAACCTTGATTTTCATTAACAAAGTTGATGCCTGAAAACACGATACCTCTTAAATTTTATATTTATTTTTAAAAACTAGAGAATAGAGAAATGATTCAATTTTTTAAATTTATCTTTTCTTTTAATGTTTGAGGGTTGATTTAGTAGGTTATTGATCACAATAACTGTATGAATAATAAAAAGAAAGACACCAAAATATCACTTACTTGTAATTATGAAACTAATAAAATTTCATGTTTAATGTTGGATTCAGGATCTGTGTTAAAGGAATGATAGGTTAAGGATTAAAGTTGAATAGATAATTGGTTAAAAATTGGTATTAAGTGGACTGTCACCTTTTTTCGTTGAATATTTATTTCCCCCTGAATAATTTGGAAAAAATTGTGATTTCGCAACACTGCCCTAGATTGTGATGAGAGCGACTCAAGGTTAATAGAGCAATACTATGTCTAATCCCTTGATGTAAATATTCAAACCATCGTTTCTCCTCATTTTTTAAAAAACGTATAATTTTTGTCATTTATGATGTACTTTGTAAATAGAAAGTATAAAATATTTGGTACCAAGGTTTTAAAATAAAATTGAATGTTTTGTGATATGAGTTAGCTATAAAAAAAGAAAAAAAGGCCATTCAAGAAAAATTATGAATTTATTTTTTATTTCAGTTATTCATTTGCCAAATGAGACTAAACTAGAGATGCAGCATATCTGTATCAATACCAACCAGAAACAAATAATAAAAAATCTAGGTCCCATATTAACCTCTTGCCACTGGGTGGCTTTGTTATGGACAAAGTAGTGGGTGGCATAATATCACGACCATTCCTGTACTGTTTAATCATTGGACAGATAGTAGTGGTATCATTTATGTGTTAGAATTTTATGGCAATAGTGCCGAAAGTGAAGGTAAACCTTTAGAAATGTTATATTTTTAAAAATCATATCAAAATGCAAGCTTTTAAGGCCTAATGATGCCTGCAAACTACCAACCAAGCCAGGGGCAAATGGGAAATTATCGATGTGCACCAACAACCCTGCAATTATTTTTTATCCAGTATTATCAGGTCAAGGCCACCCCCAGACTAGTTGGTGACGGTCCCTCTTATGTGAGATCTTTATCTTTGTATAGTCAGTATAGATGTGTTTGCTGTTTAATTTTTCTGGCGAGGCCATGACACACTAGTTTAATAATTTGACAAAAAATTTATCACAATAAAATCATCTTTAGCATTAGTTTCTTTCTTGTTCCCATGACCCTTTACCTATCTTGTTATCATTTATTT